TGGTGCCAGCAGTGGTGCCAGTGCTTCTGGGGCATGTCAGACCCTGTACTGCCAACCCACTCTGCCAGCAAGATGCCTGTGTCAGCTCAGGGATTAGCCCTGCTGTCCCCTCTGCATTTCCTGCTGCAGTTTCGGGTGAGGATGGGACAGTGTCCCAGGGGCTGCCCCACTGGCCGGGTGCACCCATGCCAGGAAGGAACTGCAAAGCCACCAGGGAGGAGCAGCTCAGCTTTGTCCTGAGCGCACCCAGATTTCCCCCAGAGCTCCTAATCTCACTTGGCTCAGCCCCAGGCTTCTTCTGCTTGGAGCCTTGGTGGCACAGCTAATCCCCAGTTGGCTCAGGGTCACGCTAGGTCCAGCATCCCCCCACCACTCTCAGGGTTTGCTTGAGAGTGCTGCTCTGCCCTTCCTCTGCTGCTGGCACGGCACAAGCCCCATTTCTCCCCTCCCTGCCCCATGTTCTCACTTCTCAGCCAGCATCACTGCCCCAGGGGAGCCATGAGTGTTTGTTCCCATGAGCTTGTCTGTGCCGGGTGGAGCTGGGGCACAGCATCCCACTGCCACTGTCCCTTATTGCTGCGTGGCACCCATGTGATTCATCAGGTGTGGTTTCATTTCCGTCACCCCACTTTGCAGGAAGTTTCTTGGCCAGCCCCCTAGGTGCCCTGAGCAATAACAAGCCAGGATGAGCTGGCCGACCTTCCTGAGAAACCCTACAATAACAAACCAGCACTATGCGTCCAGCTTTCCTGGATGGACAATAATAAACCAGCATGAGCTGGCATGCCTCGCAGCACAACCCTGCAATAATGGAGCTGGGTGATGTGTCCACCCTACACAGTGGCAAGCTGGCACGAGCCACCTAGCTTCCTTGCCAAGAGGGGTCCCCAGGAAAAGCTGGATGCTGGGCTCAGGGCTGGCACATGCCTGCAGCCAGCATGGAGCTGGGTGTGCCACAGCAGCCCATTGTCCCTGGTGCAGCTGTACCATCGCCTCGCCAACTCTCCTTTTCCCTGGATTGGTCCCTGGGAGCTGGAAGAGCAGCAGGAGGGCAGGGCAGGGCAGGACCCTGGCATCCCCGCTACCGTGCAGCAGCACAATGCGCTGCATGCTGTAATCCAACCCGCGGGAACAGCACAAGGGGAAAAGAAAAGAGTATTGAGCAGCGGGCTGCTGCGGTCACCGGGCTGCATAGACTGCTGGTTGTTAAGCGGGTGCCTCGCTCGCAAAGGCCGCCTTGATGAAGTGTGAGACGGCACTTACGGAGGGACGCGGGCAGGCATTCTCGCTCCATCTTCCGCTCACAGTGCCGCTCTTTATGTGCCTGACATTTGCTCGCTGGAAAGGCCTTGGATGTAGGGGGAAAGGAAAACATCACCCTCAGCAGGGCCATGAGCATTGCCGGGAGGAGTGTGGGGCCGTGCCAGGCTGTGCCGTGCTGTGCCAAGCTGTGCCAAGCTGTGCCTCTTGGCCGCCCTGGCTTCACCGCCTGCTGTTCCCTGGGGTGACCCCATCACCTCTATCACCTCTCTCAGCTCCGGGCTGCCTTCTCCAGCCGGCACAGCCGCTTCCTGCCAGGTGTGTGCGGTGCTGGCTCCGTGCCGGGGAAGCCCTGGCCATCCTACCCTTCCTGCACCGTGCCAGCACCTCTCCTGGCTGCTGCTGCTGCATGCCTGCATGGGATGAGGTGTTGGGGACATTGCAGGGTCAAAGTTTGGACACATCCTTCTGCTGTCCCTACCCTTGATCCCAACCAGAAGGCAACAGCTCAAATGTGTCCTCCCACAGGTAGGACCCTTTGCTGGTGGCACAGACCTGTGCTCCTCTCTGCTCGTCCCAGGGTGAATCCCTGAGCTGTTGGCAGCACAAACCCTGTGACAGGGGAGGGTGGCAGCAGCCAAGCCATGAGGCACAGCAACGCCCCAGCAATGAAGCCATTCTCCTGCCCACCACAGGCTGCTTGCTGCAGTATCGCCAGGCTTTGCTATGTCAGCGCAGTGCCAGCTGCCATGCTCATCTTGCTCCCAGGCCACTGCTCCACCACGCCACTTCTGCAGATCTGCTGTTGGGGCCAAGCCGGGGAAGCCTTCCATCCCCCCCCCTCACCTACTCCCCCGGCACACACCCCTTGGCTCCTGGCCTCTGTAGGAATTATTAAGTGTGCCCCTGTGGAGCATGTGCTGAGGCTGGCCACGGGAATGTGGGCAGATCTGACATACAAGCCACAGCAGCCAGGCTGTAATTTCCAAACAGGCCCTGTTCGCTCTGTTTTCCAGTTAAAAATATATTAAAAAATAGGAATGTGGGGTTTGCAGTGAAGAATGTTGGTAACCGCTTCGAACGTCTGGTGTGATAATGAAAGGGTCAGTCCCCAGCTTTGAGCGCGACCGATTTAGACTCTGGTGCTTGGCACGAGTGCAGGGGCCCAGCACGGTCCCTCCATCCTGCAGCCCTGTGCCAGGGGATGGTGACGCTGCTTCACCCACGGGTGACATGGCCAAGGAGACATCCATCCCATCTCTTACAGGCCTTGCAAAGGGAATGTGGGCAGGGATGGGTGAAAGCAGGGCGATGGGGATGAATGCTGTGTCTGGGCTGCATCTCCTTGTGAGCTGTCCTTGCTAAGCACAGGTGCTGTGCCCTAGCCCCCCCCTTCCCGGGCAGCCTCCCCAGCTTGGCTAATCGCAGTGTTCAGGCTGTGCTACTGAGCATCCCGTGCCGGTGCCGCAGCCTTGAGCAGCTCCTGATACTGGGGCATGGTGCTTGGCCTTGTGGGCAGGTAGTCATAACATGGGGTGACCCCCCCTGCCAGCTCTCCAGGCACTGCGGTGGGGGAACCTGGCCAGCACCCCTTGTGTCCCAGTTCCCACAGAGAAGTAATCAGAGAAAAACAAGAGGCTCCAGCAGCTAGGGCTGAAGCCATACTGGGGACAATAGACTGGCTGCAGCAGGGTTTGGCTCTGCAATGTACTGAAGCCATGGGGCAAGTAGAAAGGAAATGTCACCCACAGCCACATCTTGTCTCTCTACCCGCCCCTCTGTGGAGACCTTCTTGTCCCTCACATCCTCCAGGGCCATCAGGTGGCCACCGGCTGGCACAGCACACTCTGCTCCCTGCTGAGTCACAGCTCTATAGGGAAACTTCCAGCTCCGCTCATAACCCATTGATTTCCCTTCGGATCCGTGCCTAGGACCCTCCCATCCCATCCTGCCCGATGGCTCAGAGCTGCCTGCTGATTCCCAAATTCCAGCCCAGGCTTTCAGCAGCCCCTTCCCAGAGCCACGGGCAGTGGGTGCCCTGTACCTGCAGCCCCTGTCTGCTCCCAGGGATTGCTCGGTGGCAGGGGACAGCAGCAGGGTACTGGCACCGGCACCAAGTGGCTGTGCAGGGACTCCCCTGCCCCACAAGGGCACTGACCCGCACAGTGCTATCTGGTACACTTTGCTCACTCTGCCGCCGTTCCTGGCTTTTCTGGGAGCTGCTGTTTGCTTTTCTCTGAATTATGACTCCAGTTTGTGCCTTTGATCTAGGCTGTGTCGGCCACCCGATGCCAGCCCCTCTGCTGCCTTTGAAGTACAGTCAATCCCCTTCCCAGCATTGGACACCACTTTTGCAGCCTCAGGAGCAACCCTGGCCTGGGAAGCATCCAGTGCGAGAGCTCCCAGGGATGTCCAAGGCACTCAGCATCCCTCATCCTCCCCTGGATCTCATGCTGTGCCAGCGTTGCACAAAGCCCAGAGGTGGCAATGCAGGGTGGTGAGCAGCCCCAAGGATGCTGTAGGGCTTGGACCAGAGCACTGTTATCTCCTTTGGCAGTGGAGCGGGACACAGATGCCAGCCAAAAAAGCAGACCACAGTGGCATGTCTGTCCTGCAGCTAAGAGGTCTTCCATGCTTTCTCCTCCAGCAGGAAGGCTGAGAGCTGTGGAGAAGGTGCCCTTCTGGACATTATCACTGCCCTCCCTTCCCAGCACAGAGTGCCGAGGGTCTTTGCCTGCCCTCTCTGTCCTTGGGATGCTGTCCCAGGCTCTGGGCTCTGGCCTTGTGTGGGTCTGAGTGTCCCCATCCCTTCCCCGCTTCCCCATCCTGGGGAGGAATCAGCCTTATCTGTTACACTTTGTTCTCCTGCTGTCTGGGTGTGGAGCAGAGCAGAGGTTACTGTCGGACCTTTGACACACACACATACATGGAGACACAAACAGCCCCACGTGCATCTGTAGCTACACTCATCACACATTCATACACCTGCACATGTGTACAGCTGCACATCACTCAACAACCCCCTCAGATGCATTTCCCGAGCCCTGCACGCATACCTCCTTTCCTGCACCCCTTCATAGCCATTGTGCCCTAGGCATCCTCCAAGGTCCCTGCACGTGTTGACACAGCCCTTAGGCTGAGAGCACCATCCCTCAGAGGGCACGGGCATGAGGGGGACTTCTCTGCATCAGCACTGGATGTGGTTTATGCTGCTTGTGCAGGCATCGCTGCAGGAGGCTGTGACAAGGCAGGGGCTCCTTGCCCCCACAGTGTGCCTGGGGTCCTGCCCGTGCCCAAAGCTTTTGTTCCTTATCAGCATGCCTCCACGCTGCTGCTTCTGGGGAAGCCACAGCCCTTCCCATGTTATCTTCAGCAGTTCATGAATGACATGCGAGTGGCTGCCCTGACCTCTGCCATCTTTCTCCTAGTGGGAAGGCAGAGCAGGTGTGCAGCAGTGTGTGTGTGTGTGTGTGTGTGTGTGTGTGCGCCCATGTGATCATGTGATCATGTGCATGCACAACTAGGGAGCATTTGCATCCCTGCAAGTGCTGGTGCAGCACCAGAGCAGAACCATGCTGTTGTCTCCATGGTGAAGCACAGAGCCCTGCAGGTGGGCACACACAGCCCCTTCCCTGCTGTCCAGCACAAGGCAGGGTGGTCTGGCTGGAGCTGGCTGCTCCCCGGGGCTGTTCCAGACCCTGATGCTGGCAGTGGGGTGACTGTCTCTGGCCTCTCCACAGAGCCTGCCCCAAATCTGCAGCGCAGGAGATGGACACGCATTCACCTCCGCTCTGCGGCAGCTCTACGTGGCGGTGACGCTGCAGGAGGCCAAGCAGGCTCGGAAACGGCATCACCCAGGTGAGGAGCTCCTGGCTGGGAAGTGGGGGAATGTGGAAAACTCCTGGGTCAAGCCCCCTTCCCAGAGGAATGGGAATGAGATCCTGGATGCAGCCCACTCCCCTTTGCTTTGAGCTGAGGTCCTTTTGTTCCCAGTGTGGGTTTGGGTGATGCTCTGTGCTCCCTCAGCTAAACCCCAAATTGCATCTCTCCCTTCTGACACCAGAGGACACTGAGGACCTGGCGCCTATTGCAGAAACCTCAGGGCACCCCGACCCGGCGCCCCAGTCACCAGCAGATGAAACAGCATCTTTGAGTGAGGAAGCCACGGTGAGCAGCTGGGAACAGCCTGTTCTTGCCAGCAGAGGGATGGGGCTTCATGGACTGGCAGGGGGTTGAAGCCAGCTGCTGCATGCTCTGCTTCCCTCAGTGCCCAGCCTTTGTGCTCTGCACTGTGCAGCCCAGCCCTGTGCCCCACTGACTGGGAGACACATGGGCTTGTTGCACACACATGTTGTTGCACTGGTCCATGGGGTGTCACTGCTCCCATTTGCACCTATCCTGCATCAACCCCTCCAGGGGGCTGACATTTCCTCCCCTTTGCTCACAGCCAACCTCCTCCCCGGTGCAGAAGCCCCGGCTACCTGTGGCCAAGGCCAAGCCGAAGAAGGCAAAAGGGCTCTTCAGCTGAGGGGTTGTTGCTGCTGTCCTGAGGGTCTCTGCTCCCACAGCACCTAAGAAAGGATCACCACATGTCCTGTGCCTCATCTGCATCTCCCTGTGGATCCTTCTGGGGTCATTCCTCACTGCCGAGGAGATGGAGTTTCTTGTCCGCCTGCTGATATCTCAGGGAATTCTTTGTGCTTCTGCCCAGATGCAGATCCCAGGCTGCCTACATGGAGCTCGTGCTGGACCTGGGGGTAGTGGGAGGGATGCTGCCGTGTTAGTGCCTGGACAGAAACTGCAGGGCTCCAGTGGGGTGTGCCTTTGGCTGGAAGACAATGTTTCCTGCCCCTGTGTCAGTTTGCAATAAAGGTCTGGTGTGATGTTCCTTCTCCCTCTGCTCTGCCCCTTCTCAGCCCTCTGTGCTGAGACAGGGGTGCAACCCCTGGTGCAGCATATTATAGATGCTCTCTGTATTCAAAGTATAATTTCTGCCCCTTCACGCATCGTCCATCCATTCATCCATCTATCCATCCTTCCTTCCATCCATCTGTTCTTCCCTCCATCCTTCCCACATCCCTTCATCATCCATTCCTCCTTCCATCCATTCTTTCTTCCATCCTTCCTTGCATCCCTCGATCATCCCTCCCTTCCTCCCTCCTTCCCTCCCGCCATCCGTCCACCCACCCACCCATCCACCCACCCATCCATCCATCCATCCATCCGTCCGTCCATCCCTCCATGTATGCATTAACCCTTCCTCTCCTCTCCCAGCTCTTGTCTCCGTGTGCTTCCCTTTGAAGCTGGGAAGCCACTCCCATATCCAATCCAGCTCCTAAAATAGCAGCAGGGTCCCGTGCCCCTGCCTGCCCCTGTCTCCCCAGGGCAGGGCTGGCCACAGGCTCACTGCTTTCTCTCAAGGGCGGCAAGGGGGAAACAAAAACATCCGGAGCAGCCCCTGTGTCTGTAGAAGGGGAATGAAAGGGCCTTTGCAGGGCCATGGCCGGCCAGTCCCAGGGCGAGAGGTTTTTATACTTCCTCTCCAAGGGAGCAGTATGCAGGGCAGAGGGGGTGATGGGAAGGGGAAGCCATGGAGTGGGGATCGTGTGCCTATACCCTTGTGTCCTGCATTCTCCTGTCTCAGTACAACCCAGGAACCTTTGGAACAGGCGCCTGTGGGCTGTAGGGCATTGGGGGCTCTGGAGCTCTCTGGGCTTTCCCAACCACATTGCTTCCTCCTGGGTGAAAGAGTTGGGGGTGTGCCCCATCTCCAACATGGGTCATGGAGAGCATGGGCTGCAGGCAAGGACCTGCTGCTGAGACATATCCTGTCCCAGGACATGGGAAGGATGGGCTGCAGAAACAGAGATGAAAGCAGATCGGAACTGTCAGTGGGAAAAAGAGCTCTGCCAATACCCCCAGCCCCCTGGCTCCAGAATGGGGACGAGGTGCCTTCCTGGCCCAGGTTGACGCCAACTGTGGGGAGTGTCACCTCGCATTGTCCCAGCCTGGCCCGCTGGGGTCTCCTTCCCTGTCCCCACCCCCTCCTCCCTGGAGCCGGCTGGATTTGAGCTTCCGACACACATTAAAGGCCACAAGTTCGGCCTCGGCCTCCATAAATTTGATTCCATAAATATTAGTTTTCGCAGGGTTTAATGAAGCCGTTATGCCGGGCACGGCCCAGCACCCCGACCCGTGCCCTTAATAAGGGCTCTGTGGCCTCGATTAAAGGGACCTTTCAATCGCTGTCAAGTATTTTTAGAAAAGGAAAAGAAAAAAAAAAGAGAGAGAGAGAGGAGAAGAAGACGACCAAGGCAGCGAATAGGGAGAGGAAAATCCCAAACCCAACCAGTGCAAAAATAGAGAAATAGCACCACCTAGACTGCATCTCCCGGCTCCGCCGCCTGCTCGCCCTGCACTGCGCTCTGCTCCGGGCAGCCCTGCGGGGCCTGGTGCCAGCCCACTGCCAGCCTGGTACCAGCCTGGTGTCCACAGGACGCTGATGACCTGGAGGCTGCAGTGCCATTGGTTGAGGGGGTGAAGCTAGAGAGTGGAGGTATGAGGGACTTGGGTGAGGTGAGGACACAGCCAGGAGCAGTGCGTGGGGTTGGTCCTGACAGTGCCTAAGAGTGGCTGTGTGCTGCAGGAGATGCTGGAAGGTAATTCCTCCCCATGCCACAGTGCTGCGGCTGCAAACGCCCTTTTCCACCAGTTCCTGGGCAGACAGCCCCCTACACTGGCTGCCCAGCCACACCTGGAGTCCTGCCCAATGTGCCAGCAGGGATACAGGCTGGCACCGAGATATGGATGCTGTGGTCAGTGCTGAGCCCAGTCTACATCAGTCCCACTGGAAAGGGTTGCGGAGAGCTTGGCAGTGTCCCCAGCCACTCCTGAGGTGCTTCCTGGTGGGCTGCTCTTCATATCCAATCAGTGTTAATGAGCAGGTAGCCCTCCCATGTCCCACTTCCCATGCAGGAGTTGGGCCATCCCCATAGATCACTGCTGCATGGAGATACAGCAGGCTCTGCATCCAGGGGCAGAAGTCTGTCACTTCTTGCCATGCCCAGAGCTGATGAGGGTGCTAGGGTCAGTGGTGCCATGGTCACAACCAAAGCTAGTTCCCTGTTTGCAGCTCTGGATCTCCAGGGGGCACAGATTTTGTTCCAGCGAGGACAGAGCCAGGCTGCTGCCAGTTTGGATCTGGATAGGGGACAGGGACGTGTAATATGCATGCTGCAGAGTCTGTTTGAGTCTGGCTTTGGATTAGAGAGGCAGGGAGCTCCAGCAGGAGTGCAGAGCAGCCTGCAAACTTAGCTCAAGGCTCTGCTCCTCCTGTGCCTGTGATGCATGGAGTTGTGCCCTTCCTGCAGCCCCAGAGGAAGGGACAAGGAGAGGTGCTATGACAGCTCTCTGCTCTTCCTGCTGACTCCTGTAGGATGCTCTTCTGGAAGAGTAAGCTGAGATGTGCAAGTGTTAGGGCTGGGGACCGCAGGCAGAGCTTCTTGTTCCTTCACATGTGGGAGCAGCAGGACACCACGCATCCCAGGCTGTTGCAGGGCTTCGTGCAAGCTCTGACCCTGATGCAGACACCTCTTGGCAGCTTTGCTCTGTCTGTATGTCCTGCAAAGGAAACGGTCCTCTGGGACTGCTGGGTAGCAGCATCCCAAGTGCACGGTTGCTGCTGGCTGCATCCAAATGCCTGGACGACTCTGTCTCCATCACCCAGCACAGACCTGCAGCTATTCCAGCCTGGCCCTCCTGTGTGCCCACCCAAGGGATGTGAGGGGCTGTCCCCTCCAAGGCAGTGTGTGTAGGGCCATCCTGAGGCGCTGCCTCACCTGGGGAGGACATAGGGAACTTGTAGGGATGCAAGCAGAGTGCGGCTGGACCCCTCACCAGCATGCAGCTGGGGGAGAACCAGGGGGGCCCCGCGAACCCTCGCTCCTGAAATCAGGGTGTTGTATTTACTTTCCCCTTTTGGCAGCTAGAAGGGGAAGCCCATCCCAGCCCCTCATTGTTGTCTCAGCGAGTTAATCAGATGCCATAATCCTGTTGTGGAAATATCGGGCCTCCCTGGAAACAATGGGGAGCGAGAATATTGTGGTTAAATTTCAACCAGCTGCCTCCCTGCTCTGTTTGATCCCCGCCCGCAGGCCCGGGCCCCTGGCGAGCAGGCGGCGCGGCAGGGGCCGGAGCCCCGGGGGTGCCACCTCGTGCCCGGGGGCGTCCCGGGGCGGGGGGCAACGGGCCGGGCGGGCGGCGGGGGCGGCCCCGAGGGGCAGGTGGCAGGGTGGGCTGCGGGGCTCGGCCGGTGGGAGGAGGCTGCGGGCGGCCCGGGGCAGGTTCCGCGGGGAGGAGGAGAGGGAGGGAGGGCGCTGGGAGGCTGGGACACGGGCAGGGTGCGGTCCTGGCGGTTCCCGGTCCCGGATCTCTTCAATTTCCCCTCTCACTCCTGCCCGGGGAGCGGAGGCAGCGGCGGCTCCTGCTCCGGCTCCGGCTCCGGCCCCGCAGCGCTGACCGCCAGGGCGCAAACCGCGGGGGGCTCCGGCAGCGCCGAGCCCCGCTCCCCGCGCCCCGCGCCCCGCGCCCCGCAAGCGGCCGCTCTCCTGCCAAAACAAACGGCCCTTCGCTATTTATTGCCGCCGCCGGGGCACGGCAGCTCAGAGCGGCACGACAGCGGGCGGCCGCCGCACCGGGCAGCCGGAGCGCGCCGGGCAGCCGCCGCGCCCGCACCCGCACCGGCACCTGCGCGCCGCATGGGGAGCCCCGGGGCGGGCGGCGGGAGCGGCGGCCGAGCCTAGCGGGGCCCCCGGAGCCGCCGGTCCCCATTCGGGCCGCCCCGGGGCCGCCGGGCGCGCCATGAAGCCGGCGCGGCTGCTGCTGCTGCTGAGCGGGTGCGCGCTGCTGCTGGCGCCGGCCGTGCGCGGCTGCGGGCCGGGCAGGGTGGTGGGCAGCCGCCGCCGGCCGCCCCGCAAGCTCATCCCGCTCGCCTACAAGCAGTTCAGCCCCAACGTGCCCGAGAAGACGCTGGGGGCCAGCGGTCGCTACGAGGGAAAGATCGCGCGGAACTCGGAGCGCTTCAAGGAGCTCACGCCCAACTACAACCCCGACATCATCTTCAAGGACGAGGAGAACACCGGCGCCGACCGGCTCATGACCCAGGTACGGCCCCGCCGCCGCCCGCTTCTCCCCCCGCGCCGGGTACCTGCGGGCACCGGGCTACCGGCACGGCCCGTTCGTTCGGGCGGGAGGCGGAGACCGGCGCTGCGGCCGCCCCATCCTGCCCCGGGCATCCCGGTGCCGCACGAGCATCCATCTCCCTGCTCCGCCGCACTGCTCTGCCCCTTCGGCGGGGCTGGGCGCGTCGGAGCCGGAACCGGCAGCACCCCGGCCCCCGAGGTGGCAGCACCAACGGCTGCTACACCGCACGGTGTGCCTGGTACTCCCGAGCTGCTCGCGCGCTGCGCTGCTATCCCCTGAACCGAGTCCCACAGTCCCCCGAGCTGGCAGTCCCCTGCCCCGCTGTGCCCATCCTATCTGTGCACCTCTGCTCTGCGTATTGGGGGGCACAGCGGGAGCTCGTGGAGCCCAGCGTGCTGGCGACGAGTGGGCAGAGCAGAAAGTTTATCCCATTCACTGTCCTTGTCCCCACTGTCCCCTGTTTCCTCGTGTTCAGAGTAG